GGTACCATAGCTAGAAGGTGGCAGAACCAAAGCTTTCTGACTATCAGCATAGGATGCTCTATTTTTCCACCATGTACAATCTGTTCTCTGCCTGTTACCTTGCAGGTGAGTTTGAGTCAGAATCCAGGCTCTGCCTGTCTCCTACCCCTGTATGAGACCTACAGCCAGAGCCTTGTTTTGCATTTGGCTAAGCTGCATTCCTGAGCCATTCACATACAGATGTTGGCCTGGGAAATTCATGCAGAGGAAGAAACCCCTGTGCCTTAGGACCATCTCTAGCCCAGAGAACAAAGCAAGACAGAATGCTGGTCTTGAGTCATTGAGTTAGGCTGGTTAATAAAGGATGCATTGGGTGTCCAAGCCATTTATGTGACAACTCTGCCACTTCGTGCTGGAAATTTCCAAATAAAACATGGTAGTTGAGAAGTTCAAGCTGAGGGAGGCAGATTTTCACGGGCAGTCACCTGTAGGAAAAATGGGAAGCTGCTTATAGTGTCAGGGCTCTGATTTTATCAGCATATAATTCTTCTCCCTATACTTCAGTTTCTTCCTCTGTGAAGAGAGGACCCTGACTGTTGCTCTTCCTGATTGCTGGGTAAGGGTACTAAGGCATAGTCACAAACATGGATGTAGATGTCAGGCCACCTGCCAGCCAGCGATTTACCTCTTTGCAACTTAGTTTCCTCTAAGATGTAAGTAGGGATAATAAAAATAGCTGCCTTACTAGGGTTTCTGTGGAAGACTGAATGAGATAAATCAATGAGTTTACCTCAATGCCAGGCACTTCATAAGACTGCTGGCTATTAAGAAGAAAGAAACAGCAGGCAGCCCTTCCAGATTTGAAGAAAATGCCTTCTTTTTTATGCTGTCTTACTTGCTGAAAGTTCTCAGTGTTGGGAATGGAGTTTAGTATTCTGTGCCATCAACTTACTACTGGCACTGATGTTTGTGGCAAATCAGTTTTGTTTTAAACTTCCTGAAGCCTCATTTTTCTTATCTGTAAGGTGGGTAGCAGTTAATAATAGCTTCCCAGAGTTGAACAGACTCAATGAGCTAGCATGTGCAAATCATCGGGCACCTGGCAGGTCTTTGAGAATTGCTAGTGTATATGATAGGATTCACTGCTTGAGGCTACATAAACAGGCTTCCCCCAGGTTCTCCCAGGTCAAAGTTCAGGATGGCTGGGACTCTCCACTGGCTTCTCCTATCTTTAAACACTTGATCCACAAGGAATCTTGTGACACAAGTAGGCAAGCTCCAAAAGCCAGGTCATAAACAGAGAAGGGAACAAAGCCCTGTGCATCTCCTTTACATTGGATACTCTGAGAACTGGTTTGGAGGTTAGATAATTTCATTGACTGCACACCAGAGGACTGTGAGGGTCTTTGAGAGACCTCTGACTTGTAGGTAGAGACACTTAGGTCTGTAGGTTGCCAGGAACTTGCTGATCATATAGTTCTTGAGCCAAGCCTACAGCTGAATTCCAAACTCATAGCAAGCTGCATTTACAAGTTTATAGTAGAGAAAAGGAGAGTCTGGCTAAACCTCTTTAGACCAAACCTTCTAGACTTCATCATGTATACTTTGGTTTTCTTCTTTTAGTTTCCATACTGTCTTTCTGTTAAATTTTAAAACTTCCTGAGTTGACTTTGAAAAGGATGTGAATGGCTACAATAGAATGCTCAAATGAGCCTGACAAACTAATAATGTCTAAGATCCTGCTGGCCAGTGATTTTGGGAGAGGCTAATACAACCAGGAGGACAGAAAGAGAAACACAGAAAACAGAGCTGTGGGGGAATGACTGTATTTCTAGTTGCTTCCTGGCCAGACTTTTGCTTTCTCAGAGTGAGAAAAGATTTTCAGCCAGACAGAAAATTAGGAACTATGAAGATGAATTCTTATTATACTTACAGGGGAATAGAAGCCTAGATAGGGAAATAGCTTGTACCCAGCAAGTTATTGCAACAGAGGCTCTCTGACTTGGACAGCACTCTTTCTGCATGTTTATGCATTGATTTGTCCATCCATTGGTGGATTCACTGACTGCTATTACATAGTAAATATAGGACTTCAATGCCTCAGCCTAGTCTGAGCTGGCCTACAAGTGAAGAAGTAATACAGTACAAGAAGTATAAAAATAGGTGGTGATGTAGCATGAAGTTGATGGTGCCATCTTTAGCCAGGTCAATTAAGGAGGAGGTGATTTTTGAGATAAGATCTGAGGAATGAGATTTTTGAGATATCTGAAGAATTGAGAGAGAGCAGTCAAGGCCAAAGAAACATGCATGGCTAAATATTTAAAGGTAAGAAAACATTTGGAGTACTTTCAAAACCTACAAATAAATAAGCCACTGAAGGAAAAATAGAAACAGGTGAGGTCTGAGGATGGTGCAATGCCTTGAATCTGTAGTAGAGACTTTGACTCTTTTTCTAAGTGAAAGAATTCATTCAGTATCTACCTGTGTGATATGCCAATGTCAAATTGTCCCTAATGAGTCTTGGACTCAATGGGAAAGTATCAGACAGTTATAGAAAAAGCATTGAGAGGTAACTGTACCATTCTAATAAGAGAATGTGAGCAAGGGCAGAAGAAGAATGTGGACAATGGAATGGGTGGCTTGAGGGTAAAGAGGGATCCATGTGTGGGAGGCAGGAGAGAGAGGACAATAGGCAAGGAAGGTGGTGAAATGTGAGTCAGCAAGGAATTTGATTCAGCACATACATATTCAGTATTGGGCATCTCCTATATGTAGGCAAGTTTCTTCTTGTTAGATCTTCACAACCATGAAGCATGATATTTTTTTAAAAAATCTTCCTGTTATGGGTATAAAAAACTAAGGGCCATCATAGTGAAGGAATTTTTCCAAAATTTTTCAAGTGAATCCCAGTGGTTGCTTTTCAGCTGCCAAGATGGTACTATGCACAGGCTAGCACCATTGTTAAATTTGGCTCTGCCCTCAGTTTCCTTACTTGAACCTAGAGGGTTATCTCTGTTTGTCTTTTTCAACTCTAATATTCTACTTCTCTTGAAAATGAAAAGGTTGTGAAAAAGTATTTCTAGCTGTTGTAAAATGAATACTGTAGATCAGTGATGAATCAATGGCATATCTGTCTCAGCTTGCTGTTATCATCATAAGCTCTAAAAGGTTTTCCATCACCACTTTAGATTCCAGATGAAATAGTCTAGATTTATTTCACAAAACTGCAGAGTATGGGAAGTAAGTGTTCTGAGTGGGAAACAAAGAGAAAGGCCAAGGACCTGTAAGCAAAAAGAGGAGTATTTCATGGAAAAAGATGCAGAATTGGATTAGCACAGTATCAAGCACCTCTTAATTTAAACTGCAAAAAGAAACAAAAAGATGTCTTTGTTAGCTAAGTAGCAAGAAATGGGGAGGGGGAGAGCTTCAAATTTACACTCATTCTATAGCTTAGGCTTTCAAAAACAAGACTGAATAACACTGACCTAGCCCTGTCCTCTTAGCCACAGAACTGGTAGAAGGATAGATGAGATTGAGAGGGAAGAGGGTTGTGTGTATAGCACTTAGTTTAAGTCAAGCACAGCACTACGTGTTTTTCATGAGCGTTTTTACTCAGCCCTCATCTTGGCATTAGGGGGTACTGGGATATTCTTTCATTATTCCTGTTTAATAAATGAGTTCCCTGAAGCTCAGAGAATTGGCTCGTGGCACCAGTTATACCTCAAGGAGGTGAGAGAATTAGGGTTTATACATAAATCTCCCTGATGTTTGGTCCCGCATTTTAAAATGTTATAAAATTTTAGGGTGGAGAAAGAGGTTGGAAGCTGGACTGCAGAAAAGTGTAGCAGAGAAGCAGCAGAGGAGAAAGGCAGAGGGACAAAGAAATAGAGGAAAAATAACTAGATACAGCAAAGGAGTCCGCAAGTCCATGAGAGCAAGGGAACCAAGATGCTCTTGGAGCTGTGAGAGCACTTGGAGACCCTGCCCAGGCAGGAGGCAAATGAGGTCATTAGATCCATCTGCGCAGATGGGGACCCTCTGGGGAAAGTTATAAGCAAATGTCATGATGCAATGAGGTGAAATCGACTTGCGTTGGTTCAGGCTGGGACTCCAGCAGGGACTGTTCTGCGCTCTTTGGAAAGATGGATCATGCGCTGAATAGGGAAGACACTCATTCTGCTGGGCTCTTCTATCAGTTTGTAGACCAGCCCAAGGTCACAGAGCACAGGAAGGTATGCACTGGGGACTCAAAACAGTATCAAGACATAAGATCTCTCACTTTTTCTCATGTTAGTCTGCTTCTGAGGTTCTTCAAACAAATTTTGGTTGAAAACTTGCATGTGAGATAGTCTTTACTCAGGATTTCTAATTTCACAGAAGGTGGTCTAAGATTCCTTGAGTCATACTTTTTTTTACCATTTCCTCCTCAAACCCATGCCACCAATAAATGCTGTTATGACTTCTTAAAATACACTTTCACATCTTTTATTTTACTTGATCATCACAGTAGTCCTAAATGTTAAATATTCCATGCACAGTTAGCCAGTTTGAGTTTATAATTTTTGAAGTTATAATTACTCACTATGACTCTACATAGGCTTTATGGTTTATAGTGTAAGGTGGGCCTTACTATACTAGTTCTACACATGGGAACCTGAGGCTCAGGAAGAAGTAGCTTGTCTTACTTTAAGTATCAGATATGATACTTACTACTTTGGACAAATGCCCTCTGTCCCTTTCTCAGCCATCAACAAAAGACATTCCTGTAGAACTCTTCTTACTGAGTTGTAAAAAAAGACTTTTCTTGCCTAAAAGTGTTCAGCATACTGCCTGACATATAGCAATTTCACAATTGCACTGCAGTTCTATTGACAAAAGTTATCACAGTACTAGAAAGAACCATGAGTTGAACTTGGATCTTCTGCACCTCAAAATTGTGTGATTGTTCCTGCATTGCCTCTCTAACAATCATTGCTTTCAACTAAAACAAAGGTTCACTCCTTTTATTTTTCCTTCTTCAGGTCACCCCTTTCCCTATGTCTTGTGACCTACAAGGTGACTGTGCTTGTCGGGACCCTGAGGCCCAAGAACACAGCCAGAAAGACCTCCGGGGATACAGCCATGGATAAGGAAGGACAAGGAGTTGTCAAAGAATTCCCAACACCAGGACCTGCATCCCTTTGGTATTGATTTCACAGTCTGCTGCTCAATGGAATGGCCTCTCCACACCAGGGATCCTTAGCACCCAACCGGTCTGCCTTTAATTTCACCCAGGAAGGACTCACCGTAGGGAGAATGAACCAAATCTCATCATGCTGGATGATGGAATGGAATCCCATCCCAAAGTCTAAGATGGATTGCATAGACAGCATGTAGTCCTGGAGCCTCCTAAAATTCTAAAATTTGTTACACAACCACAGCAAAAACATGTTCTTCAGAGTATGCACATTTGTCGTTAGTACACATGCATGCATACACTTCCATACAGAAACATCTGTGTGAGGGCAGTTCTGGAGAAATAGTAGAGAGCGACTGGAACAAACTCAGTCCTTTCCCAAGTGCATACATAGCTAACACTATTCTAGGGAGGAATAGAGTTATAGAAACTGCTAACGCCAAATATTGAGATACCAAGATTGTTCATACCCTGAGGCTCAGAACATGTAGACCGTGCACAATTGTGTAGTCCTTTGGAGCTGGAAGTGAAATGGTCTGTGGTCACCAACCTTTAAGGGGACCAAGACCCAGGAAGAGGTAAAGATTCCAAGGTATGCAAAGTTTCCCAGTTCTGCTGCCACAGAGAATTTACCCCAACCCCAGGGTTCGAGGTCAAGCTGAAAATGACTTAGGACTGCAAAGTTAAGGTATTATACCAGCCCCCTGCTTGAGGCCTGAGGTCATAATATTCCTCTAGATCCCACCCATTCCCCAGATCTTGCCTTGGGACCACATTTGCTGCTACTTTTCCTGCTGCTCTGTCTTACACATTAAGTACCACAAGATGTCAGAACTAGGTTAGGAGAAACCCCACACAACCAAACAGTCTGCCTTAAAAGTGACCCACATTTTCCCACAGTTCCTCACTTCTGAAACCTTCTGCAAGAAAAAAACCCTCATGAGCCCACATGATGGGAAATAAAGTCTCCCATGAGTGGACTTCTCATCCTGGAAGGGAAGGAAGGGACCTCAAGTGCTGGAACCCTTTCTGAGAGTCTAGAGTGTCTAAGCCAGTGTTATTTCATAATCAGGTGGAACAGTGTTAAACTTCTGGGATGTTGGAGTCATCCAGAGACTGTTGGAACTGTCTGGACTCTTGGGTTATTATCCTTATTTTAGTCTTCTTAGTCCTCCAGGCCAGGGGAGGCTTTGGTTCTAAGAACCTCACTGTTGCTGTGCATAGATACAGTTCTGGAGTCATCTGGAGAATCATGTTGAATGTTATTAATGTGGATTGCATTCTCAAGGGCCATTGGAGGGATGCCTAAGATTTCACAGACCTGGTATCCAACATGAGCATCACATTTTCCAAATCATTTTTCTACCACAAGTACTCCTTGTACACCTGTGGCGGACAGCTCCTCCCTACTGGCCATGTTGAGCTTTCAACAGTTAAGAGGAATTTAATCAATTGCCCATGGAAGCTCTCATCTCTTTTAGGGCCTCATTTGCCTATTTCCAGTCAGAAACCTCCCCACTGCCTTTGGGTTCATATGGAAAGAGATTAATGCAGGGTGTGGTGGAGACAGTGGTTAAATTTGACATAGTTTCTGAAACCTAGATTTAGAAGTTAAGGACATGGGAGACTCTAAACTATGTCATTTAAAGATTACTGTAAGTCAAGTGTTCTCAAGTCCAGTGAAGACAACCAACAAAAGCAAAGTCTAGAATAGAAATGGAAAGTGCCAGGCATGTGTGTAGCTCCTCTTAATTCCTTATCTAAAGCAGGCATTGTTAATCCATCATGGCTTTTTCCTACTGGGACCAAAAATAACTTCAGAAGCTCTCTGATTTCATCACTCCCAACAGTAATTACCTGCTGATCAAGAGCATTTGAAAAGGCATCTACTGGCCATTTGTGGTCTGTTGTATTAAAAATACATCAAGGTGCTTTTTGCACAGGTGCCCACCTATAAGAACACAGTGCTTAGTGCTTAGTTTACATGGCTTTCCCCATCACAGCCTCTGAGAACGGAGATGGAGATTCCAGAATGGAGAGGCTGCCCATTGTGAAGGCTAGGTTCATACCCTGTATGATTCCTCTTATAAAATGAAATCACATTTATATGCAGAGCATTTATTTCTGTAATCACCTGAGTCAATCCTTAGCCAAAAAAAAAAAAAATAGGACTATTATGAGAAGGACTGAACGTATTTTGTGCCCATCTCTAGTGTCTTAGAGCTCTTGTCAACTCTTAAGGTCCAGCTCTTGCCATAGCAGAGCTTTTGGCCTTGTAGTGTCAGTTCAGAAGGTAACAAGCAGAGAAAGGAAACAGGATCAGCCCTCCAAATGACTCAGTTACATCCGTATGAAATATAAAGAGCTCAGGAGGCGGAAAGATGACATTACTGATGTCAGGATTGCAGAAACCACAGAATACCCTCACCAGCTCCCTTTAAACCAATCTTTAGCTAGTTTCTACTCTCACTACCACTGTTAACTATCCCTATGCTTTTCAGATGCACAAAAATTCCCAGAGGCTGACTTCCATTTTTATATGCCCAGTTTGAATTGAGCCCTTCTAAGTAAAGATCCTCCAGTCTTCTCCTTTGTATCATCCAAACTTGTCACTGACAAATTAATATTTGCCAAGAATATTACTTAAGTAAAACAGGCCACTTAATTGGGGGCCAGCCTTCATGGAAAAAGGTCAGCTCTATTCATGCAAAGCACTGATTCCCAGTTTCATATCCCTTGAGTCATCTGTTTAGGACAATGGAGTACTCACAGGGAGGCGGCTGTGAAGTACTCTGTGATGGCAGCTCAGGTGGCCTAAAACATTCGGGAGTTCTATGTCAGAAGAAACGCTACCCCATCAGCTCCATGAAAGAAAAGATGAAATGGACATATCTCTAAGCTCCATCCCAGGAAGCCTTTCCAAGGCTCGACTTTTACTGCCTGCTTAGAGTACTTGCATTGCACCCAGATTCTGTGCCAAAAACTTTTAAGGGAATACTGTACTTTAGAAATCAGTTTGAGTAGGTGAATTGGGGTGTAAAGGAAGGGAGAGAGTAATGGTCATCAACAGCAGGCCTTTGGAGACAGAGGGTATCAGCTGCTACTCTTGGCTTCAGCACATTGGGTCATTGCCTAGACAGTTCTCTTGGTCTTATTCCCACCTTGGCTGATGCTTAAGTGCTATTTGTTGAAAATAATTATTTGAGACAGTTTTCAGCTACCTCCCTTCCAGGTTTGATTTAACTTGGTTGTAACTGTCAATTTGTTATAGGTCTTACCTGTGTTTAAAAAAAAATAAAAGAGAAAAGAAAAAGAAAAAGAAAGAAAGAAAGAAAGAAAGAAAGAAAGAAAGAAAGAAAGAAAGAAAGAGAAAAAAAGAAAAGGAAAGGAAAGAAAAGGAAATCATAAGATCAAGTGAATCATTTAGAAGTTTTGTGTGGCTTTTTTTTTTTCCTCTGTTTTTCTGCAGCTACTTCAAATGAGAAAATAAATAGAAGACATTAATGGTGACAACGCTGTACAGATAGAAAATAATAGGAGACAATAAGATAAAAGGAAATTAAAATGCATGGCAAAAACTAAGACTATAAACCCATTTTTATGTTTCCTAAAGGAAATTGTTTATTCCACAGACTGAGTAGGTAGATACAGCATAAATATTTCCCTAGAAGACATAGAGTGGGATAATAATGCGGTCTGTTATTTTCTGTACATTGTGGTAGGTCCAGGAAATACGACATCTCCCCTCTTCCCATATGTTGTTGCTGCAGGGAGTGCATTTTGTTTATTTGTTTGGTGGCATTAGGGAGTAGGGAGGGCTCAATAATTGGTTTTACCAAGTGTTAAGGGGACATATTGTGTCGTTGTGCTTTTTAAGTTACCAGATGTTTATATTTGCCAGTATAGTACTTGGCTTTATAAAGAATGCACTCAGACCACACTGCACAGTCCAATTTTCCTAAAAAGCTGCTACATCACCAGACAGGTAATTCCGGTGTGTTCTGAGAAACAAAGCTAATCAACAACTATATATATATATATATATATATATATATATATATATATATATATAAAACCTAGACAGCAAATGAGTAAAATGCCTGTTTTCAGGTTTTGCCAAATTCATACCCAATGTTTTTCCTTTTTAAGAGACATGTATACTCAATAAGAGAAGAATTAGTCTTAGCACAAAGAACCTAGAAATTCTTGACTCCGGGCTGCAGTTTAGTCAGTGATTTTGAACAGGTCATCAAATTGCCTCTACATTTGCCTCAGTTTCTCTAGTTGCAAAGTGGGGATCCAACTACTTACCTACCTCACAGTGGGAGGGCAGAGGATTGTGAGGTCTGAGGATTTAAATGGCTATGGCAATCTGTGAGAGTCAAGGCTTACCAGAAGCCCGCAGGCTGCTTTCCAGGGACACACAGGCCTTGGGCGGAACATAGTGCCTGTCTGCTGTTCCAAGGCATCAAGCTGGAACTCCTGGATCACAGCCCACCTTAAGAGTGTGTGTTGGGTGATACTGAACTTTTTGGGTAAATTTTAATTTCTTCTCTTATCCTGACCTTTACCATTTCAATGATTTGATTAAAAGCCAATTACTTCCGACAGTATAAAAATCAGTTTCCTGTTGTTTATTCAAGACTTCCAGGCCATTTCCAATTTTCAGAGGGAAGGGATCTCTAATGTCTCTTCTTCATTGGACCCCTCCCTCTTCAGACTCATGCATCCACACTGAGTGTTCCATTCAAGGAAGATACGGCATTCTGTATAGAAATATCTCGGGGCTTCTTAAACTACACACCAGCAGTCAGTGAGGAGAATTTTGAACAATTACTGAGTTGCTTTCTTGGGTCTCTATAATCAATAACCTGTCTGCAGATATCTATCTATATAAAGATATTATATATAAATATAAATTTACATATATATGCACATGTATATATAGTTGTACATATATGTGTGTATATATATACTTAAATGTAATATTTACAAAATAAAACTGTGATCTCATCTAGAGAAAATGTATTCATATTACAAACTGCTCTTCCATATTTATGTATCATATTATACCTTTTTATTATTGTTATAATTATTATGGGTATTTCTAATTATTATGATATTGAAATCTGTTTGGCACCTTCTGGAACTTACCAAAAAAAAAAAAAAAAAAGCCTCTCTATTGAAGTGCTTAAAATCTATTCTCATGAGAATTCTACTGGCCTACTGTAAAAAAGAAAAAAAAAAAAAGAAAAAAAAAGGAAAATAAAAGACAGAAAGAAAACAATCTAAGCACCAAAAACTAAACACAATTCCAATCTTTTTTCTGTACCTCACGCGCATAAATTTGCTGCTCCTATTTTGGGTTTTATTTTTCCTGTTTATGTGTTTTTATGGATCTAAGTTAAATCTTTCAGCAATATATAAAATGTAAATAGTAAACTTTATTTATTAAGAATGTCATCTTTTTTAATTTATATTTACACAATTGTTCATCTAATTTATTTTTTCTATACGGTTTTAAATACTCAGACATATTTTTCTGTTCATGATATTTTTTATCCTGTTCTTATAGATTTGTTTTTCCATACTGTTTTCTCTGGTCTCAATTACAGGTTGGATCTCACACAAAAAAATAATGTCAAAGACAGAAATATTTTGCCACTGTTGATTACTATACCTTAAAGTTCTATATTATGAAAATATATAATAGCTTGTCTGCTTCCATGTGTTGTCGTGTGGTTTTTGTCTTTGGGGGGATTATAAACATGGATGAAAACCCCAGGGTCTAAAATTGGAAAATCAGTTGTAGTACAACATTAAATCCAATGTGTATTCAGTCTTCCACATGATTCATGAAAATTATCTACATCTTGCATATGAAAAAACATAAACATTCTTACAAGTACACGTGTACTGAAGCAGCACACTGTAGCTTACAAATGTGTATAATGATTGTGTATCTAAATCAAGATTTAAAAAGAAAAGGAAAAAGGTTGTTTCAATGTGTCTAAGCAAGCTGGTTTTGTTGATCCATGAGAGATTTAAGTTAGTTACGTAAACTATTAGATTGAACCATGTGAAACTGCTGTGTTTGTAGGTGAAAAAATATATTATCAACGTATAGTGACAGTTTCCCATCATTCGGCCTTACCTAGCACAGTAAGTTCTCAATAAACTACTAGCAATAAGTGTAAAAATAGAAGGAAAGAGGGTAGAAAGAAATAAAGAGAAAAGAAAAAAATATTCTGCTTTGGAGTCCTAAGAATATTATTTCTAGTTATGTCTTACCTTTGTACTCTTTCTTCAACAGTACATAATATTGTTTATTTTCACTTATTTATTATCATCAAATCAGCTTCTGTCTAAAATTGAAACGTTGCTCTATTTATCTGTCTAGTATCTCATAACTTATATTATTACCACTTAGTAGCTCTGTGATCTTTGGAAGTTAATTACCAAATTACTTTAATATTGTGTTTTACTATCTGCGAAATGGAGATGACTGTATCTGCCTCTTAAGGCTTCTACCAGTATTAAAAAGATACACACTCAGAGTGACAAGAAGAGTGCTTGGCACAGATTGAACTAGTTCTCATTGAGAATATTGTGAGACCAAAGCTGATTAAGGTAGTCACTGACAATAAACTAACTTTATGGACATTTTTTATAGAATAGAATGACGAGGCACTAAATTGCTCAAGTACTTACATAGTCATTTTTATACAGTAAGTTACAGACATTGTGCACAGTGCTGCTGACATACAGTTGCTCCTAAAAATATTCCAAAATATCTTGTTTTTATGAGATGATGCTTGAAATTTTTAATTCTGTGCAAAACAGCAGTTTAGGGGCATCAATGTGATTTATAAAGGGAAGATTTGGGAAGTAAAAAATTTTCCACATCAAGTTTTTCAATCTTCAAAACTATGATCCATTAAAAGATGAAAAAGCTACAAAAATACACACACACACACACACACACACACACACACACACACACACACACTAATGGACAGTTAACAAAGCTTAGATCCTTAGTCTGTCTGATATCAAAAGATTCCTTTCTCATTTCAAAGCAGGCAAAAATGATCGCCATTTAGATTTGTAGTTATCATCCAAGACTTAGAGTTTTTTTGACCCAAGAAAACCATATTAACTTAAAGATCTTAGAGCGAGGAGCACGCTATTATGGGATACCAGCATTGCTGAGTTTCTCCAGTTCTTAGCTTCCAGTGCCGACAAGGCGAATCTAAAAGAACAGCATCTTCAACCTTCAACCCATGGAGTTTTGCTTTTTTGAGTAAATGTTTAAAACTATAAAAGAACAAACAAGAAAGAAAAGATGACAGTGCTGTTCAGAGGCACAAATTAGCATTTGGAAGGAAACACGTTCAAGTATCATTTTCGCTGTGACCTTGAACAGGTCACTTATTTTTGTTAAGATAGAGTGGACAATGAGGAAAACTAGGTGATACGTTTAAGTGATGGGATTAGAAGGTGCATCATCCTACATAACAAAATAAAACAGCACTCTCAAAGAACTGAAAAAAAGGCTAACGGGCTTAGATAGTCGAGAAGTTAACAATGGTCAAAGTAGAAGATGGAAGGTTGACCAAAACCTTGAGAAGAATTTTGAGTTTTATGTTAACAGCAAAGCAGAGCCAAAGAATGGTGCTTAGAGATTTACATGACCCGCCCCTCCAGACACATTATAAAAGAGAATATGGGAGGCAGTAAGAGCAGACATATATATATATATGGAAATAAGAAATCATCTTGACGATCCTTGGTGGTTTCAAAATATTAAGATCTTGAATCAGACCCACAAGTTTAAATAGCACATTTTTTGTCTTGTATGAGAAACCCAAAGGAAAAATAAGGAGCAAAATGGAGACTAGATATTGACAAGAAGGAAGAACATGTTCAAATAGGAGGAGCACAAGGAAAGCAGAGGGAGGAGGGAAGGAAGGGGAAAAGAAGTTTTAAAAAAGAATCAAAGGGAAAATGGAAACAAAACTTTTGTAAACAGGGAGAGGAACAAGGGTAGAAGGGATGGAAGTGATTGAGGAAAAAGGAAGAATTAAGGTATGTTATGTGTAGATACAAATTCACTATGAAAATATGATCATTAAGCAATCTTTAGGTCTAGATGTGGGAGGAAATCTTTGGTGAAGAGGTCAGTATATCATGGGGGATCTGGGATCACAGTAATTTACACAGGGCATCAGTTTTTGGCCCTTTTGAATTTCAATAGTTTTGTCTACAGAAAAAGATTCAATATTTGAATCTGAAAGGGGCTTTTCTAGGGAAAGCATATCATAATTTAAACACGGTACCCAACAGGAGGCTGCAGGATAGTAGGTACCCCGTAGATACATTATATCTTTGCCCTTCCCTGCTTCTCCACCCTGGTCATTAACTCTCCTAGGAGGTTGGAATTGGCAGGAGGAATGAAGTGGTAGGGAGAGGAAAGCCCACCAGCTCAGCTGCCTGTATTCCCATGGAGATAATGTCATCAGTTTTATATCTCCAAAAAAGGGCTCTGCGGCCCACTAAAGTTCTTTCTGTCTCTGTAAAACTGGATAAATCTTGGTCAAATGCCCAATATACTGAATGGATTCAGAGTGAAAATAATTAAGAAGAATGAAAATGATTGCAACTTTAATCTCAAACTTGAGCTTCAAAGAAGGTAAAATCTATAGCCGGCAGGAGGAAGTATACATTTATTTAAGACATGGACGTGAGTGTGTTTTAGCTTTCACAAAACACCTTGGTGCAGAGGTCATGAGTGCCATCATTAGAGGAGAGAAACCAAGTTTCAGAGTTGTCATTTTTCATAGTGAATGGCCCCACTCTCAAATCTCAGTATCTTGGTGATTTATATACTACATCACAATGATTTTCTGTTGTTGTGACTGGTTTGACTCTGCTTAAGCCAAAAGCACCATTATTTAATTACTGTAAGGATAAAAACTGCTTAACTTGATATCAGCACAGATTGACTGACAGTGATTGTAGTATTGGGTTGAGAAGAAATTTTATGATGCATCCAGGATACATAGGAAAAGGTAATGTGACCTTGGAGAAAGTAATGTAACCTCCAAATTTCAGTGTTCTCAGCCATAATCCTCTGCAAACTATTTTTAAAAAAAGCATTTGGTCTCTATCCCAAGTTTCTGACCCAGAGCTTCTAAATCCCTTAGAAACGTCTAGGGGCTTGGAGCATCTTTCTTTCTAATACTGCTCTTCATGCTGGTCTCCTGCAAAGGGCTGATCTTCTGAATGACCAAGCTGTGATTAGAAGCTTGGAGCTTGGAGATTTCACCCTCCATACTCCATCATCAGAGGTAGACAGAGAAATGAGACTGACTTAGTGGTTGAGATGAAGCCTCCATGAGATTCCCCTGAAGGCAGTTTTAGTAAACACTTCTGTGTGCCATGAGGGTGGTATGCTTCAACTCTACAGAGAGAGAACTTCGGGACTTGCTACTCCTGCAGATATTGTCTCTATATGTCTTTATTTGACTATATCACTGTGTCCTATTAATCAGTCTTCACCTAAACTGGAAATAGTTTTAAGTTGTTTTTCTGGATTCTGTTCACCACTCTAGAAAATTATGGAACTCAAGGAGGCAATAATGAGAATCTCTAGTTTTTAAACAAATTGGATGGTATGTAAGTCTGGGGCCTGAAGTAGGGGACAGGGTGTGGCACTAGACCTGAAATCTGTGGTGTCTGTGTTAATTTCAGTTAATGTTAGAATTAAATTGATTGGGGGTGATCCAGCTAGTGATGGAGCTTTGGACAGTCGGGGGAGAACTCCCATACAGAGAGTTACACACTTGTTGAGTGCAGCAATTGAAAGAAATTTTTTCATATATTTTGAAAATGGAGACTGTTGTAATGTTACGTTTGGTTTTCTGTATTTACTATCATTTCTTTATTTGTTAAATGGGAAGTTGAAGTTTGGTTTAGGAGGAGAGTGCTCAGAGATATATTATATGAACCACAAACCCTTGGTTCTTCCTCCCTGTCCAGTCTTTACTCTCATGGACCAGAATGACTCAGTCTTTACTTAGTTAACACTGTCCTGCTCCCTTTGATCAAATAACTCACTTACATTACCACTGGTCCTTAGTAAGCATTACTGTCCTAAGTTGTCTTCCATGACTAGCAGGACCGTGGTTCTTGGAATGGCACTGATCTTGTCCAAGATCTAAGAGAAGAACATATTCAGAGGTGTCAATGAATTCTTAGACATGACATGAAAAGAATGAGCCAGAAAAGAAAAATTAACCTGGACTTCATCTGAATTAACAGACCATTATAAAGATGGAGAAATATTTATAAGTCATATATCTTCTAAGTTTTTAGAATGCAAAATAACTAAAAACTATTACAGAAAGACACAAAATACAGTTGAAAAATGGACAAAGAATTTAGGCATTATCTAAAGTTTAAGTCAAGGGATGGATGTTCATTATTTTTTTTTTAAATGGAAAGTATCCTTTAGGGCATTTTCTTTCCCTTTCATTATTACAATATCTATAATATATCTGTTTTGTTTCTTTCTCTAAATAAAAAATGGAAAGTATCATGTGTTGGTGAAAAAGTGGAGAAATTAGAACCTTCATACAGTGCTAGAGGCCATGTAAAATGGTTCAGTTACTGGAGGAAACAGTTATTCCTCAAAAACTTCAAAACAAAATTACTATATGTTAC